CTTGCACTGACCCTACCAAGCAGCCTCCAGCCCTGCCGCAATATTTACAGCCCAACCAAGCACTCGCCAGTCCCACGATAGGTAACCTGAGGGTGAACGTGCAGCTTCAGTTCTACCTCTTGAGCAAAACCCAGAGCTCCCCAGTTGCACAGCCTCATCCTTTGTCAGATGTATGATCACAAGCACATGTGAGAACACGATTACATACTTGAGGAATGCATCACAGTGCACTCACATCAGGATAACGACAGTGTGTTAATTGTTGAGTTAAATATGTTCAGAGGGTGAGTTTTGGATTCTTAGCATTGCACTGACATGAGCCTGTGCACGTGGTCCCCCAGCCTCCCAGGCTGGAGTCTTTGCTAACTGAGCCCAGAAGTTCCTTCTGCTGACACAGATCCCCTCTGTGTGAGCTTCGGGGTCCTCACAAGCAGTTAGACGCGCGTTTGCCTGACCCAACACATCTGGCACGAGTGTCCCAGGGCTTCCTGGGAAGTTGAGGCTGTGCCTCACCTCGCAGAGGGTGTTGGCTTTCCTTGGAGGATGGATCTGTGCAGCACAGACCTGTTCCATGCCCACAGCCACTTTCCTGTTAGAGCACCCAGGCCAGCGCAGAGAGCTGTGCCCGCTGATCCCTCTCGTGCCTCTGCACTTTCCCATGAGTCAGACATCACCCTTTTGCACAGATGTTTAATGGAAAGTGGTTTGGGTTTTAAGCAAAACTGTCCTGTGGAGAGGAGACCCTGTATAGTGGCTATAAAGAAGCTCCTACAGAGTGCCACTGGTGTAAGTTATATCCACAGCGTGGGTCTGTCTGGGCCTGGGCCAGGGAGTCTCTGCCCACCCCTGGGCCCAGAGCAGTCAGGTCAGTGCTGGGTTGGCATCCAGCTTCGTGCTGAAACGGGATGGTGGGAAAGAGGTGTAGGAGTGAAGGAGGGGTCCAAAGTTATTCAGGGACAGTCATGAGTCAGAAGCCTTTTATGCATAAAGAGGAGGTGAAAACATAGAATGACAGAACCACAGACTGGTCAGGGTTGGAAGGGACCTCTGGAGATCATCTAGTCCAAACCTCCTGCTAAAGCAGGATAACCCAGAGCAGGTTGCACAGGATCACATCCAGGTGGGCTTTGAATATCTCCAGAGAAGGAGACTCCACAACCTCCCTTGACCTGCTGGCCAAGGTCTTCCCAATGCACCCCAGGTACAATTGGCCACCTTGGCCATGAAGGCACCCTGAGCGTCA